AAGCATGGTGGGTGAGATTAGGATAGACTGCCCTAAACAGAGGCAGCATCGATCTTTTCAGAAGCCCAGGAACCCCCCTGTTGCACTCCCATTCTTTACCAATTTTGCAACAACGTTGGGACCTCATTCTCAGACCATGTTATCATTTACACCTGTGCGAGTGAATCGTTTTGCTCTGGTGTGACTACTCAAGGCAGTGCAGGGTTGGGGCTCTGGGGTTAGATGCCAACCCACAGTGAAACCCTTTGGCTCCACACTGGTATCATCTATCCGTCCATCTGCCTGCCTGGCTGCCTACCTACCTAAATATTAAGCCTAATGAGCTCTAGTTGAAGCATCCCACAGCCATTTTTGAACACATAGGACTGAATACACGTGACACTGTGAGCCATAGGTGATGCATAGGGGGGTTATGGGGTGGGGGGGGTTAAGATTGGCTGCCAATGGTTGGGGAGTGGGGAGTAACAGCTGATCAGTGGCCCCCCAAGAATGTGGGGGTGCCAAGAGAAGTACTGGTGGCACTTCTGGGTTTGCCACCGGCACTTCAGCAATTGGCTGCTGCCCACCCCCCCATTGGCAAGCAGCTGCTGGTGCCCCCCCAGGATCAGGAGGCACCAGTTGCCCATGCTGTGGGTGTTTTAGAGTGGCTCTCTGGAAACTGCTCTAATTAAAATGTCCCCCACCCCATCCCCACGTACATATACAGGCAGCCTAAGTACCTTAATCATCAGGCTATTGGATGGTAAAGAAGAAAGACCTTCCACCTCTCTTGTTTAAGCCGTCCCATGGTGCAGAAAAGAATTCAAGATTCACTGAGCCAGGAAAAGGAAGTAGGATTGAACATGATCTGTAACACCAATGATTAGGACAGCCACTTGGGTTAGGTTACAACCTTGCTTTAAGTACACTGTGGCTAGGGACAGACATTTAAAAATCCTGAGCCTGAATTGATTCAGTCTTTGCAGGTTAATCCAGCCTGGCTGGGCTGAACCAGTTTGTATCTGTACAGACATCCCCTCTGGACTGAAGAAACATAGGCACGTGCTCGCAGGGGCTCAGGCTAGATGCCAGAGGAGCACTAGAGCAGCCCTCCCTTCCCTTCTACCGTGCTGAGCTGAGGGGGGGTGGTGAGGCTCCAGCAGGATGCTCAGATTAGGGAGGGGTTCCTCCCCTTCCCCCTCCCTGCCCCACTGCTCCTGACCAGTGACAGAGCCAGCAGGGAGTTACACAGCATTTACTTAAACAGCAGGGAGTTACACAGAGAGTAACACTGTGTTTATCAGCCCATCAAGAAAACAAAAACCTCTCTCATTTGTTCAAGCCCTTCTTTTAGCTCCAAAAAGCCATAAGTGGACACTCTACTGTCTGTTTTCTCAGTCTCTTATCAATGGAGATGTGTGACGTTTTCATACCCGCTAATAGATTTAGCTATGCTGACAGCATTCTGTAATATAGACTTATAATTTAGTTACATTAAACATTCATTGGATAATACATCGATGGTCCTTTGAGTAGCGAGTGAAATCCAGGTGAGTGCTCTAAAAAAACTAGGCCAGAAAATAATGTTCCTCCTTACTTCCTTCTTCAGGGAAAATTATAGTGTCAGTTGGGGTTAGCATTGTAACTACCATTACATCCCATACAGCAATTGCTCTTACATATTATGGTGAGGAGCGCCACAGAAAAGCTTAAGACAGACCTGTGGATAGATAACTGCTTATGGCCTGCCTAAATTGTTTGCTCCTTTAATAATCCTTAGTGCAATCACACTTGTTTTCCTCATAATCTTTTTTTATGTATATCTTCATTACCACAGCAAATGGCAGTTTAACTGAGCCCCATGATGCTTGTCAATAACACAACCAGCTCATCAAAAACATTTCCAAACATGAGGAGCTGCACATCCCCAAATAAGCTAAACCAAAAATGGCTATTGCCTAAATTGCATGCTAAGTAAGTAAAACATAATCATATTAAAAGGTGTTGCACTTACATAAAGCTTTTAAATAACATGCTCCAGAGAAAAAGAATTGCTCCTAAGCCTTCTTCCCACCAATATCTCCTTACATTTTTAAACAATATTAATCTTTCATCTACTTGTTTCTTTCTTTAATTAGTATCCCATAATTGGCCTGATTCCTACTGCTTTGAACTTGTAAAAATGACTGTCTGAAACCCTGCCTAATAGCATGGATGCATTTTTATGATCACTTTGCAAGGAGATAAATACCTACAGAAGATTCAACCCAGACCCGGTTGTCACATGGTTGGGGAGGCAGAAGTACATTCTGAGCTGTTCTGAGCCATCCTACATAGTTTGGTTTATTGATGCCACAAGCAGAAAGGGAAAGTGACTGGGGATAAGCCTCTGGTATCAACAAATAGACAGGGGAGGTTAAGTGAGTTATGAGAAGGCATGAGAGGAGTATTTACTAAAAGTGAATCATTTGTATAAAACAGCCATCTTCACTTTCCCGGCTTGAGCTTCATGTGTACAACTTTCTGATCACCAGCATGTAGTTTCTGAAAACCCTCTCCTCAAAAGCAGGGTTCAGAATTGCTCACTTCTGGTGAAATTTTCCTTTTCACTTTGTATTTTGCACATTTGACCTATTATTGTATTGGTCATATCAGGGCTGAAGTACATAGAGCCCATAAGAAGTTAATGTGTGGCCCCAGGCTGCCACTCCTCTCCTGGCTCCAGTGGTTGCTCCAGTGGAGATCTCCAGACTCTCCTCCCCCCTCCCCCACAACACACCTTCCCTAGCTTTCACTTCCTGCCCTCCTTGCATGCATGGTGTGGGGGGTGGGGCAGGGAGGACACCCACCCACTGCTGCTGGGGGCAGTCTGCAGCTGGGCAGATGAGGGGGGTCCTTGGCCTCCTCTGGTGTGACCTCCACAACAGTCAGCCTCCTCAGTGTGCACCCCCTGGCCTTAAGATGTTGAATTGTTTGAATAGAGTCAAATGATAACCGAATCCTACTTTCTTTTCCCATCTGTCAGCTCAGCAGTGGCAATGAAGCCAAATAAACTCATGCCACTCATTCAGTTCATATGGCCTAGCAATCAGCCATGATACTTTGGCTTCCATGCATGACACCAGGGATTTCATTGTGGTCTTCCATATAAGCATTAGCCAGGGCTACAGTTACAGGATTTCCAATGACAGGTAAGAGCAGATGAATTTGATCCAGCAAGCTGCCAACTAGAACTAAATTATCTCTAGGAACAAATTGATCAAAGTGGAGCAAAGGTACTTATGAATCCAGCCACATGGTTAGATGTTGAGAAGTGAATAACAACTAACTGACCTGCATATATAATAGTCTGAAAGTATGATGTTATTGGTCACAAATTTTCTATGTTCAGGCTATAAACTGAAGGGCTGCAAACAACTGAAGAAATGGGCATCTTTTGGGAAATCTGGGAAACCTGATGGGAAGGGGGGGCTTGCTCTAGTGTCCCCCTGGTTTCTAGCTTGAGCCAGTGCAGGCATGTGCCTGCATTTCCAGAATCAAAAGTGAATGTCAATTCACTTGCTTCCTGGTTCAATCTATGCAGGTTAGACTAACCTACAAAGATTGAATCAATTCAGGCTCAGGCTTTTTGAAGGTCTGTACTTACTCCATGTGAATAGTTTGAATTAGACTGCAAACTGTGTTCTTAATATTACAGATATTTGCGTTTCTATTTTGTATTCTTGAATTTCTATGCAAATAGTTTGGCTGGAGCATGCCGTTTTGGTTCTGCTGTAACAAAGAAGCTGACTGAATCCAGCTTTTAATTTAGAACCACAGAAGATATCTTGAACATATGTTTTCAGTCCTGTGCACTATCTTTTCCTTCCCTTATAGCCCTTATCTCAATTCTCAGCATGGCATTTGATATAACACATTTATAACGCCTCACTTTCCACCATCCATGACTTATCCCTTGCCAGTATCTCCACATCTGTGTGCTCTCCCTCTCTTGCTGCATTCCTTCCATCCTTCTCAAGTGAATGCCCAAGTGCTCTTCAATCTTCCTCCTTTGCTTTGATCATTTCTTGCCAAATGCACCATAAACAAACCCTCCACATTCATTTTCCAATCGTATGAGCAGTACTAAAGACCCCTGACTTCCTGAATTTCCAGCATTCTTCATATTAATCCCTAGCATTGTTGTTTGAGTGCATCCACATCCCTCAAAGCATATGCTCCTTACTTCCAGCAATGATTACTTACCTCCAGCAATCATTATTACAACTCCTTCTGGCTTGCTGTCCTCACCAAACATCAGTGTACCACAGACTGACAATCTCTGTCTTCCTCAGATATCATCATGCCAGTTGTCACTGTTCACTGATCCAGTTGTTTCATCCCTTCTGGCCTTACCATTTCCCCTTTTCTCTACAATAGCCGTTCAACTAGTCACAGGCCAATCTCTCTTCCCAGGGTGGGCCCTTGATAATAGGAGCACCTTTCACCTGTCTGATGGACAGGCCTTGCCTTGAATTTAATTTTGGTGAGCCTCCAGCCAACCCTGCATAACTATCCACCTGTTCTCTTTTTGCTGATCAGCAAGGCAGCATGGTACAATGATTGATAAGGCCAAAAGGTTGGTAGTCAGGAGGCATAGATTCTGCCCCAGTTTTGCCACCAATGTGCTGGATAGCTATGCATAAGTTCCTGAACCTATTTGTGTCCTAGTTTTCATATGTGTTCACTGAGAACAAAGATACAAAGTGCTTTGGCATATAGATTAAAAGCACTATGTTCAAGCCCATTATTATCATTGTTGTTATTATGAACTTTGAGCCACTTTTCTCCTTACTCTCATGTAGCTGCCCTTTTCATATTTATAATCCCTTTTTCGATTCATTATTTTTTTGGACAAGTGACGGCTTTTGCACTAGACTGAAATTACTGGTACCTCCCCCGCCCCCCAAGAGCTTTCTTATGAATACAAAGTATGAATGCCACTTAGCTATAATAACATTGCTTTTCTTTCCTTGTTTTAGGGAGTGCTGCCAATTTTTTGGAGACAACGGCTTGACTCTGAAGGCTTTTTTTACCAAGGCAGCACCCTTTGGTGTTCTTTGGACACTCACAAACTACCTGTATTTACATGCAATAAAGAAGATAAACACGACGGATGTCTCCGTGCTGTTCTGCTGCAACAAAGCTTTTGTGTTCTTGCTTTCATGGATTGTTCTCAGGGACAGGTTCATGGGAGTGAGGGTAAGTGACTCCTGTCTGTCTCTCTAACTCTTTCATGTTATCCTTTTCCCAATATATCCCCATTGGCTCGTTTGGATCAAGTAACAGTTTTCCCATATCACATAAAAGGGGAAACCTGAATCAGCATAGAGTCACAGAATTGTAGGGCTGAAAGGAACCTCAGAAGATCATCTAGTCCAACCCTTTGCTCAAGGGAGTAGCATCCCTGACTAAACCATCCTCAGTCAAGTGGATTTTAAGCAAAGCAAAACTTCTAGGCACCCTGCCAACTAGGGGAACCCTCAGGTCTGAATGATATCTAGGAGGAATAGGACACCAAGGAACAAGATCCTCAGTAGTATATTAATCTCATATCCTTGCAAATTGTACAAGCCACCTTTCCTGCTGTCTTTACCAGACAGCACACACCGAGAATCATCACTGTGGGGCTATCTCTAGGCCCCTGCCGCCACTTCCTCTTAGAACTCAGTTTCTTTGCTCATTGTTCCTTAGAAACAAGGTACCTTATGCCAACTTGGAGTGAGAAGGATAAGTAGTATCCCCAGGTCGTTGTGAACATTTGTCTTCATGTGCCTGGTCTCTTTTGATAAGAAATTAGCCTGTGAGACTTAGAAAACATTTTTTAAATTCCACTTATCCGCAAGCTCTTTACCTATCCTTGCGCCATTTGTTCACATTATGTGAATGTATTTGTACTAGCTAATATTTAAATATAACAAAACCCCTATCACATTGGAGTATTATTAAGTTCTGTATAACTGGTTGTACACTTCAGCTGAGGTAGACATGGAGGCAGATAATTTAGGTTCCTTTCCTCAAGTGACTGTTTCCACAGCAGTTTGTTTAAGTATGCAAGTGGTGAGGAACAAATATAATGGCCTTGTAGAGCAACCGAGAGCAGACAGCAATCCATTCCTTGACTGTTTAGTGCAGGCTAGGAGTTAGAGAGATCTGTATGGAAATACCTGAAAGCCACTCTCAAAGGTAGAAAGCTAGAGAGAGCTCCAAGGTCCTAGTCTGTGTCCATTCATTGAGGCAGAGAACCAGGTTGTATCCTCACATGAATAAGATAGTGTGCATGAGCCTGAGAGCCCCTTGTGTGTTCCATAGCAGATGTTGTCAGCACAGCTGTAATGCACTGTGTTAACTTCACTACTCAATGTCCATGGGAAGACACTGGCTTCCTCACAGCCTGCTCACTCTCCAGCCCTGCCATACCTTTCAGGGACATGTTATATCCTACAGCCTGGAGAAGGATTTCATTATCCTATGAAGCTGACTGCACAAAAGGATTTGGGCTTTTCAATAGGCACCCTGCCAGGCAGAGGAACCTTTCAGTCTGAGTGCGGTAGCCCCATTCTCCATAACTTGTAGGAAGAATTAGACCCCTAAGAACAGGAGCCAGCAAGATGAGCTGGAAGCCACCTGAGTTAGCTAGTCAAGTGTTTTTTCTGTCCCACTCCTGGCTGGAGGGAGTGTCTGCCAATCTCTCCTGTGGAAGCTGTTTCACTTTATATGTTCGTTGGGTCAGAGGCAATGCCTCGGACTGTGCTTATGAGCAACCTGAGAAATAAGCCTCTCTAGCTATTTCCCACTCCCTGTGCACCACCAGCTGAAAATTTGACTTGTAGCTGTGGTAGAAGCAGCTCCAGGCACATCCCTGCCAGTCCATTTACCATGCCCAAGACTGAAGGCTTATCCACACCATGGGACACTGTGTCTCAGCCAGACCCTTCCCAAGCAGGAGTCACCTGTCTGCTGCCACAGACATACTCCACAGGAGGCCTCCTTAGCAACTGCTGTCATGCCTGCCAGACACCAAGGTCTTGAGAGCAGCTACAAAGAGGCAACAGTATATGGCTTTGCTTGCATAAATCCAGGTTTGGAGCATGTCTCTGGGGAGGGCTTGCTCAGGCATGGCCTGACTTGGACACACTGGGCTCCTAGGCATGTGCAGGGAGGCTTCTCCGACGTGCTGTAATTCCAGCATGTCAGAGCAGACTCCAGCATCACATGTATCAGCATCCCCGCACTGAAAAATGGTGGCGGGGCACTTTAAACTGAAGCTCATTCAGCAAGCTTTAGTTCAAGGTGCCCTGCTGCCATTTTTCAGTGCGAGGACACTGATATACGTGATGCTTTTAATTAGTGCAGCTCTTGGATCTGCGCTAATTGAAGTGCCCCCCTCTAGCCTCCTGGAGCATGTCTATAAACACCTACTGTCGCTGTGGAATAGACAAGACTTAAGAGGATCCAGCTGATGCAGGGCAGGGCTTCACAACTCCCTCACCCTGAGCACTGACCAATCCATATAGACACAGCCAGTGAATTATCTAACCCTGCCCTAGCTGATACTTCTTGCTTTATCCAAGTGGAACCATTGCAAGAGGTAAGACTGACAGGGCCCCTCACCATAATACCCTAGCAAGCCCAGTGGGTAGAGCACACATCTGAGAGTCAGGAAATATATTGGATCAAGTCTCTGCTCCAAATCAGGATCAGTGGGGATTATTGGAAGCTGGATCTTCAACATCCGGGTGAGTGACAGTCACTAAGCTATAGGGGTCTAAGGAAAGATTCAGCAATTCTGCTAACTTGTCTTCAGGTTAGCCAGGCTCTGAAAATGCCAACTGAATCAGGCCCAGAGGCTAGCAGTAATTGAGGGGGGTTTGGAGGCTCTTGGTGGGGCCTCAGTGTTCAGCGTAGGCTCCTAAAGTGACAGAGAAGTATGAAGTCCCCCTATGGATTTAAGGCTTGATCCAGTAAAAGACATGGGTGCATTGTCCTCGGAGTAGAATCCAGAACCCTGAGTTAGGTGCTCAGGCAACCTAGACAGTGCATGGGGAAAGGGTGGGCAACTGCAAATGGGATTCACAACAGGCACCGAGTGGTGCATCGCATAAACTAGTGAGTACAAAATGCAGAAGAGTGAGGTGTCTTTAAAATCCCATTTCTCTCTGGGACTTAAGTGCTTAACTGTTGGCTGCAGGGCAGCGCCCATGGCAAACTTGGATTCATAGCTAAGGAATTTTTCCTGGATTCTGTAGGCCAGAAAGAAGGAGCTTGATGGCTGAGCCGGAGTGGCTGGGATACTCAACAGCAGAGGGGTCCTGGGTTCCAGGCCTTGCTCCCAGGACTGTTTATACATTTGACATTAAACAGTCATTGGATGGAAAACAGAAAAACATCCTGGGAGTAAGTGTTAGAACTCCCAGCTGAGTGCCCTCGCCCTAGGGCTACACAATCAGGTTTCCCTCCCTGGCGAAGGAGTCCTGGATTCTTTGCTGCCACCATGCACGGTTCAAATTGGATGAGTAGAGGGTTCCTCTGTCCAGCCTATATTGTATCCTGATGGCTAAGAGAGTGCTACTTGGAGTGTAGAGATGTGAGTTTAAACCTCATCATGGCAGGGAAAAAATAAGCTTAGCTTAGCCTAGGTGGGTGCTTTAGCCACTGGGTTATATATAAACTGAGGTTAGCAGCAGCCACATCTTAAGATAATGACATCTGCAAGTCTGTTTTGTAAGGAGACCAACCCTGGCTTTGTGTGTCCTACCAGATCAAGCCTCCTAGGGACTTAAGTGAAGAAATGCTTACTTTATGGGTACTAGTTATGGTTAGGTGCAAAACTGGTACTAGCCACTCAAGCTGGAGCAGTTCTGAGCACGACCAGAAAGGAGCATGGCAGACTCCTGAGGAATTTTCCAGTCAAGTATGAGGGGTTGAGTAAGCTTAGGCACCTCCACAATTAGGTGACAACTGAGCAGAAAGCTTTTTGGAATTGTAATTTTGCCCTTAAGCACCTCAGTTCTGCTTCAGTCCTGCTTCAGGAGTCTAAGTTCTTTACTGGATCAGATCTTTAGCCCTTAGCAACCTCTGATGGGGAAGTCAGCACCAATGAGCATTTGGCATTCATAGCCCATAAGTGACATTGTGTCAGGTCTGTGATTCCCTTACTGGGGCCAAGTGGAATTACAGTGGAAAGATACCAGTTATTCACTCCTGCACTGTTACACCAGCAGACTTAGAGAATAATATTCCTAGCTCTTACATGACACTTAAGGAGGTATCTTCTCATTAAAACTTAGCTATATTTTTAGTTATCAGGGGAGCTTTTAACCTCAGTCTATGGGTTAACATCAATAGAACATTAATTTCTCAGTGATTGAAAATCTTTTATCACCCTTATTATTATTTCAGCAGTGCCTGGTGGCTCCAACAGAGATCGTTACAAAATGTACCAGTAAAGTGCCTTTTGGCTGCACTTGTCTGTCATATTTCCTGATTATCTGAACAGTGAACCCACTGCAGCTGATAGATTTTTTGTAGTAACCAAAAAAATCTAAGGCAAAATCTGAAGTAATCTTAGGGGGTATTACTATTACTGAATCATAGAAAAGTATTGCTGGAAGGGCCCTCAGGAAACCATGTAGTCCACCTCTTGGCTCAAGGTAGGATCATTAGCCCAGTCTAAACCATTTCCGACAAGTGTCTGTCTAACCTGGTCTTAAAAACTTCCAACAGTGGAGATCCTATAACCTCTCAAGGTAATCTGTTCCAAAGTTTAACCACCCTCTTCCTAATATTCAACCTAAATTTCCTTTGCTGAAGTATAAGATCATTACTCCTTGTCCTATCCCCTGGCTGGCTGTATTGTCTTCTGGATAAGAGCTAAAAACACCTGTGGTCTCTGACTAGGGTATGGTACTTTTTGCCTTTTTCCCATTGTTCTGGTCAAATTCTGGTGGAGATATATTTCCTGCCTGTTTTAGTCATCTTGCATGTGCCATTGGAGATACCTATCCCATCAACTATCATGTGTTGTTGCTATACAGCTGACTCGTTTACCACCTTTTTGTGGCTGAATTCTAAGGGGCATTGTGTGTGTGTGTGTGCACACATACACATATGGGAAGGACCATTTGAAACATTTTTTGTAAGCCTTTTGTGTGGAAGGTGCTTTATAAACAGAAGATACTCTTAGTATCGATTACTATTAG